AAATAAACAAGTAAGTTCATTACAACCCCAAAGGCTAAGTCAGTGGGAAAAGAGGGAAATGAATGGTTATGAGCATAAAGACAGGGACAAATAAAAGAAGTCTGGAGCACAGAGAACAATTTACAAATCAGCAGTCATTTTAAAGGACACAGAAATTATGGTTTTAAATATCATTCCATAAGCAAAGAGAATATTAAAATCATTTTTTGTAAAATTCCCTGAAAAATGTTTTGTAATAACTTTTTTATTTTTTACCCTTCTCATCACCACCATCCTCATTACCTCATAAGAGCCATATGTGGTAACTATCGGGGCTTGTTATTCTCTATCTCCTGCCAGGAAATATACTGAATTGCAAGAATTAGGTACTACAAAAAGAAACATATTTTATATTAAGCAGTTACATTTTGAAGTAAACGGGTAACTTGATGGTATTTCTATAGCATATATATATGGCATATATATGTGTCTGGATATATATATGGCACTCATATATACCATACATATATATATGTCGCATATACATATATATATGGCACTCATATAAAAAACACACATAGCCACATATGGGTTAGTAGTAGTATTTGTTGAACACAATTTTTGGTTTTCACACAAATCCACCTTTTCAAAACCAATTGTTCCTTCTCCCAGCATACCCCAGGCTGGCAAATGACAAATGAAAATAAAATCCCTGCTGGAAATAGTGGTATAAAAAGCATTTTTCCTTTTATGTGCACTTTGCAACCCAGAGAAAATAAGAAATTTGTTTTAGTTTTGTGTAGTAGTTTCCAAAATATGATCAGAGAGATGCTAGTAAACATTTAACTTTAGATGAGCTTTCTCAAAACTTTTAAGCGCTGGAATGAAACATTTGCTTACACTCTGAAGCTGGTGCTGGGTATCTTTTTTAAGCCTCCCTTGGCATCTCATTTTCACGCACCATCTGAGATGACTTGGAAAACACCAGAAAATAACAACACTACTTCCACAAAACAACTGCCTGGACAGTGCCTATTTCTACAGCCATCATTTATAGGACTCTTTTTCTGGGGAGAAATTTTATTTTAAGTGTCAATACTAAAAGATGATATATTTGGAGTTGGCTGCTTCAATCAGTAAATGTAGTCAGTACCGACTCAGAAACAGCTTATTTTTAATAATTGGAAGAAGAAATAGTTCTAGCTGTTAGTTTTAAATGGCTACAAAGGGAAGAAATTATTTTCGTGGAATTATTAGCTTGCCGTATGTGTAGTTTAAAATGGTTGTGTAAAAATGGCATCATGTGATTTTTTTTTACAGTGAACATGACCCAAAAATGTGGAAAGACCGAGTTCTTTTTCTCTGTAACCCTCCTTCCTTCTTTGTGCAAATGAGACTAAGAACTTCCTTCACATTGTAAGCGAAACCTGAATCCCATTGCTGACATATTTGAGAAAGCAGTTTCATTGATAGAGATCAATTTCTGGACTAAAAATTCAGTATTTTCTAAGATTCATAAAAATTATTATAGCTTTAGTCTTGACAGTTGCCTTTTTATTTTAAGGAAATAAACCCCAGAAAGCACATAAACACATGCATCTACATACATACATACATGCACATTCACCACACAGTTTATGAAGGAATATCGAGTGCCCATTGGATCACTCAACTTCGCTGAATGAATATGCAGACATTTAAAAAAATAATTTTGAAAAATTTTAAATGATACTGAAAAATAATTATGGCATTTTGTTTTTTAAAATCTTGACTCATTTATACAGTGTGTGTATACATAGATACAAGCAGAGAAATATGTACCAATATAAATGTACAGTAAATATGTATTTATATATATTTACCCTTTCAGTTATATATTTACATAACCGAAACATATAAAAATAACAAAGTAAGGCAGGGCAGAGTGGCCCGATAACCCCAGCACTTTGCGAGGCAGAGACGGCTGGATCACCTGAGGTCAGGAGTTTGAGACCAGCTGACCAACATGGTGAAACCCTGTCTCTACCAAAACTACAAAAATTAGCCTGGCTTGGTGGCATGTGACTTGTAGTTCCAGCTACTCTGGAGGCTGAGGCAGGAGAATCGCTTGAACCCGGGAGGTGGAGGTTGCAGTGAGCCAAGATCATGCCACTGCTCTCCAGCCTGGGCAAGGAGAGCGATACTCCGACTCAAAAAAAAAAAAAAAAAAACAAAAAAAAACGAAGTTATGTCTAGGTAAGATGATGACGGAAATTTTCGTCTTACTTTATACCTTTCACTATTGAAATTATTTTATAGTTGAAGTAAAGGAAATTTTGTAATATCAAACATGAGCCAATGTCATTTATTTAATATCAAAATTAATATTAGAAAAATGTCTATACTTTAGGCTACCACCCATCTGCCTGAATTAATCAGCATGAATACTTAATTTTAAATATTACCTGTCAACGCAGATCACTGAATGTGATCTCCTTTAAGGTATTATCATGTCATAAACTGCTATAAAAAGTCTAATTCTCTCAAGAGTTTTATGGTTATCCACTTCATTTTCAGGTCAATATTTTAACATATTTTCCCATATTTTTTTTTTCTGAATCTTGAATCTCTGCAAAGCCAACCTTCGAATTAGAAGGAAAAGGTAGAAGAGTGAGGAGTAGCAGCAATTCACTTGAATTTGGATCTTGGATATAACTAAAAACACATTTTGCTTTTTTATTTTTATGTCAGTTTGTGAAGGAAACAGTTATGGTTTTAGCTAAATGAAGAAATTTTTGTTTTGTTGTTCTTTTTTCTTTTTATAATTCTACTTGTATCACATTTCAAAACCTACTTTGAATTTTCACTCAGTTCCCACAATATTACCATATATTCTTTGAGCTGTTGGCAAAATGGATCCATTTTGTAAAGTCATGCTTTTTGCACTGAGCTTTTGCCAGTCTCATATATTTAGATAAATCTGAAAGCAAAAGCAATACCCAATGTGTTGAATATCTTTAATAGCATGGTTGAAATTTATAATTTGAAAATCATAAGTTCAAAGAACATTTATCTACGGCTTGATTTTACGCTTGACACTGCCTATGCTTCACAGCAGTTTTTTTTTTTTTTTTTTTTAAATAGGAGGACAAAAATACTTCCTTCTATCATTCATAGCAATTTTCTTTATACTTAAGTAAAATATACAGAAACTTTTAAAGGAACATCAAAATCTTGTTCCCTCTTATTGTTGCCATATTATTTTTATTATATTACCCAACCAGGTTGTTACGGTTATGCTTATACTCTTATACAAATACACTTTTAGAAGAAATATTGAAGGAAATGCAACTTCACAAAATGAATAAGTTTACCTTAATAACATTAATATGAACAATGATGTTATTTTATTCAACTTAAACCACGCTCTTGAGTTTAAGAGCAAAGATGTAGCCACGGTTGAACTTATATTTATTTGGGCTATATTTGTGCTTTTAATTACTCATACTAATACATAAGAAGCTTATTTGCAACAGGATATTTATATAATTTTAAATGTTTTCGGAGTTTATGTGTGTGTGTTGAAATGTTAAGAAAACAGAACTCATTCTTAAGCAATGATTTGCAAAACAGCAGTGCTAATATGCAGATTTTTAAGGCATAGCCCAAATGGTTAGAGACACTGCAAAAGTTTATTTTTCTTTTGGGTGATCTGTTGACTGGAAAGAGCTTTTACATATAAAAATGTGGATGCTGAAATCAAATGGCTATACCCAAATGAGCAAGAATAGTTTAAAACATTTAAATCAGTGTCTGCATAAAAATTAATGTACATATTATTTATAAGAATATGTTATGTATATATGTATATATATTTATATTATGTATAAGAATATATTTATAGAAATATAAACTATTAGAAAATTATATATGATGCAATATTTTATGTTAGGTAATATTTTATGTACATATTTATTTACAGGTAGTTTATATACCTTTAAGTCTGTGTCCATTTTTCATTTATTCTTGGTCTCCAGTTTGAACAACAGTGCCTTATGGTATTACACTGATAATTTTCTCTACTCTTCAGTTCTCTTCCTTATTGTTTATTCATGTGTATCTTATTCCATGCTATAATGTAAGGTACTATACATGTGTTGAATCTTAAAAGAAATTAGCAGAATTTCAATGCTTTCCTATATTACTCAACATAAATATTCTATATATAGAATGAATTAGAACAAGCTATTTGTGAATCTGAAAGGTTAATCAGTGATTCTATCAATCATCTGGTTAATAGTGGTAAACTCATTCAAACTCAGTCTGTTAAAAATGAGATGCTCTGCCCTTTATCACTGAAAACCTCTTGGTTTGCCAGATTTTTCCCTTCTTTACAAATGAAAATGCTTAGTGTTTTCTGAGTTCCTTTGCACTATCTCCCACTGGATTCAGGTCATTGATTTTATCTTCAGAACAATTGGAAAGTTTATTTTGTGGTGTTTATGAGCTAATTTATTTTTATTGAAATGTTTATTTTAAATGAAACAATAAGTACACTGAAGTTTTGTGCATTTCATTTTATGAAAATGTTATCCCAAAGGGATACAGAAGAACTAAATACAAATTTTCAAAATTTGTTGGTTTTTTGCCTGTTGCTGTATCTGAGGTTGTACTTTTGTTCTGATCTTCATAATACCTCAAAAAAAAAAAAAAAGATGGATTAAGAGAAGGATGAATGGAAGAATGGATATGAGATCTATCTGATAAGGCAAGTAGATTAATAGACGAATGGAGGAATGTTTGGATGTATAGGTATATATGTGTTCATTGCACAGTTTCAACTTTATGTGTTAACATTTTCATAATAAGAAGTTGGAGAAATAAAAAACAAGAAAACAGAACCGTAGGATTTTTTTAAACGTTTTTGATTAAAGGAATTATATTGCAAATTATGAATTTTTAATTTGGCAACATCGTTTTAATGGTGTTCTTTCTTTGTTCTTCTCTTTCTCTTCCTCTCTCTCTCCCTCTCTTCCCTAAAGCTCCATTCCGACTTAGACAAGGGAGAGGGCACTGTTAAATACACCCTCTCAGGAGATGGCGCTGGCACCGTTTTCACCATCGATGAAACAACAGGGGACATTCATGCAATAAGGAGCCTAGATAGAGAAGAAAAACCTTTCTACACTCTTCGTGCTCAGGCTGTGGACATAGAAACCAGAAAGCCCCTGGAGCCTGAATCAGAATTCATCATCAAAGTGCAGGATATTAATGATAATGAGCCAAAGTTCTTGGATGGACCTTATGTTGCTACTGTTCCAGAAATGTCTCCTGTAGGTGAGTAGGCAAATCAAAATTCTGTGAGATACAACGAGACCTCTTCAACATTTAGTTTCTGCAGGTTGATGTAAACATCTTATCTGTCATCTAAAAGAGTATTTTTCAATGCTAGAAAATACAATTCTTTTCATTTATTTTTGTAACGTTTTTGTTTGTTTGTTTGTTTGTTTGTTTTGAGACGGAGCCTTGCTCTGTCGCCCAGGCTGGAGTGCAGTGGCTGGATCTGCGCTCACTGCAAGCTCCGCCTCCCGGGTTCGCGCCATTCTCCTGCCTCAGCCTCCCGAGTAGCTGGGACTACAGGCGCCCGCCACCATGCCCGGCTAATTTTTGTATTTTTAGTAGAGACCGGGTTTCACCATGTTAGCCAGGCTGGTCTCGACCTCCTGACCTCGTGATCCTCCCTCCTCGACCTCCCAAAATGCTGGGATTACAGACGTGAGCCACCGCACCCGACCCCTATTTTTGTAACTTTTTTGTTTTTCTTTTTGCTTCATTATGAAGATAACTACAAGAATATATAACATTCTTTACTGTTTTCCAACCTGTGAATTTACCTGAACTCATAGAATCCTTGCGTGCTTTAAGCAAAAAAAATGTATTTTGTATTGAAATTGATTGTTATCTCAATTCCAGACACCTATATAGTGCTGGGGATACCTACCCTACACCACGAAATACCAGATAGTAATTCTTAGCTCAAACTAAATTATCTAAAGCATGCATCATATCTGATCTGGAAGTGGTCCAGAAACAGGTGTGTTGCATTTGTAGCCGTTAATAGAGATTCTGGAAGGGTGATACTGTTTCCTTTTCGGGTTAAATAACCCATACTTGTTATGCCATCAAGTCAAGCAGCAAATGAATAATGTCAACAAATCATTATTAGAACAAATTAACAAATTACAATTATAATTATCAAATTAACAATTAGAATATAGTAGCACCATCATTCTAAAAATTTAAATTTGATATAAGTATACATTTCCATATCAGCCTAAATTTCCAAAATCCTGTAATATGTAGGATATAAGGTCAATAAGTTAAGAATTCCAGCTTTAAAGACCATTTTAAGTTATAATTTTTATTCCTCGGTCACCACTGCTAATCCTTCAATTTATTTCAAAGTAACTTCTGGTTTTTATTACATTTGGAAGATAAAGCAACTTATCACATGTAGGTTACAACTTAAAATTCGTGTATGAGCCATTGCTCATATTTTCTAAAGCTGACATGCCTCAGAGGGTTTCTACTGCTCCTACAACCACCCAGGACATGCGATGAAGATTGTGCACGCTACCCTGAGGGCAGAAGCAGGTTAGTAGCTGTAGGAGCTGTCACATGGATTTACTATAAATACACTTGAAATTGTGTATGTGACCTTATCAGTCATTTAAAGACTATAATCTCTCCTTGACCTAAGAAATCAGCTTGAAGTAATTCACTTAGATTTCAAATTTTAATGTGGATACCCAAGGCTGCAAATCTGTTATTCAGTACCTGCTACACTTTTGGGGTTGCCTCTTTTATGCACTGTTATGATTGCTAGAAATTTAGAAGTCCAATTGGAAAGAAGCATATCTTGTTAGAAAAAAGTCCCAGAAAACGAGGGAGGCTACGTTTGAACTGTGTCTTGATTTTACAGAGGGAAAATAAAGTTAATATTTTGAGGAAAAAATAAGGCTTTTAAGATGACGTGCTATATAGTAGACAAATAGTTTAACTCAGTGCCTGCTTCATGTACACTGGATGTGTTAACATGAATTTATGAGCCTCAGTGACTTTTTATTACCAAAACAGCTTCCTTAAAGCAAACACACACACATGCCTCTACAGTATTGGAAAATTCTGTCTCATTAGATAAAACAATTAGGATTTTTCTTGTGCCGACTAGAAAAACTAGGGCTGCAGAGTTGGAGCCTTCATATAAGGAGTTTGCAGCTCATATCCAAAGAGAGACATATATTTGGAAAGTCAAAAGTGTAGGTAAGTGAGAAAGTAGACTAATTTCAGCTTTTGCAGTTGGAGTGGGATATAATTTACTATGTTGTCATAAGATATTGGAAAGATCTTTGGAAGAATAGATTCTTAAGGTGTTTTCTCATTTGCCCTTACTGAAATTTCCCACTGGGTCTTCAAGACAATTCCAGTAAATACTTAAATTGATTTTCAATGCACTGCTTTCTTTCATTTTTATTTATTTATTTGGAAACTGGGTCTTGGTCTGTTGCCCTGGCTGGAGTGCAATGGCCCAATCTTAGCTCACTGAAGCCTTAAATTCCTGGGCTGAAGAGATCCCCCTACATCAGCCTCCTTAGTAGCCAGACGTGTGCCATCCAGCCTGGCCAATTTATTTTATTTTATTTTATTTTATTTTATTTCATTTTTTGTAGAGAAGGGATCTAGCTGTGTTGCCCAGGCTGTTCTCACATAGTTCTGGCCTCAAATGATCCCTCCACCTTGGCTTCCCAGAGCACTGGGATTATAGTCATAAGCCGCCCTGCTGGCTCCTTGTTTTAGTTTTAAAAACAGAAGGGTATTTCTTTTGAATGTGAAATATTACCACATGGTATGAGTTAGTCCAAGTGTTTTTATACTAAATTTACATAATATATACTTTTCAAGTAAGTACAAAGAGGTATAAACACTGCTTATGAATTGAATGTTAAAAATTAAATCTCTGTGCACTACTTTTGCCTTTCCCCGTAATCTCACGTATACACATAAAACAAAAAACAAGATACCCAATTACAGTTGTGGTATCTGCTGTTCCTGCCTTGAAATTTCCAACTTACAGCTAACCAACAACTACTGTGCATCCAGAACTTACATCTATGTTCCTAGAGTACTTGAACCCCATTCTCAAGTGCATCCTTCTTACCAGGTGGAAATGGTTCACTGTTGTACTAATCTAAGAAAATATTATGTTTTTCTCTACTTTTTTTCCTCTCATATACTCTAGGCAATTCTCCCTCTGTAACATTTTCCTGAGAATACTAAAATAATTTTTAATCAAGACCAGATGGAACTTTGTATGGTATATTGACAGTATACCAATTGTTGTGACAAATCTCACTGCCTGTTGTAGATACCAGTGTTTGAGGTGTTCCCTATGAAATAACTTTTCTGTCTCAATAATTGAGAATGCTACTGTTTTATTTCCCAAAAAAAGGAAAAATTAATCAATTAAAAATACATACAGTGAAATAACTTATTTTGTAACATAAAAAGGAAGATGAAGAAATACTGGAACATTGAGATGAAGTTTAACAGTAATGGATTATATATCCAGAAATATGAAAAATAAACCTGCAATGAAAATTTACTAATGCTGCTGATTTTCACTTGTGTAAAGTGAACATTACAAAGAACATAGTGTACAAAGGGAGAATGGTGGTGGGTAGGGTGGATCAAGATTTCAGAGGAAAATCAATATTTAAGACTTACAGCACTATGGAATATATTTAATTTTCCTAAAGTTGAAGAAAATTCCAGTGAATCTATGAATTGTTTAAGAGAAAGGTCACTCTGTTGTTGACTTCTGCTACATTTGATATTCCAGGGAAGTAATATTTAGAGATAAAAAGCTTTTACTCTGACCTCTGAAAGTACTTATTGATCCAGATATTCCCAAACTCAAAGTAAATCCTTGGAGACAAATTGAGACTTTATGAATGTGGACTTAATTCTTTAAGATCACTAGAGCAATAATAAATTACAGGAATGTACCCTCTTTAATATCTGATGATTATGCATAAGTGGGGTATGCAGTTTTAAGTTACTTTTCCTAGAGTGCTGACAGGTTTAGAGTGTAAAATCCATACTCAATTTGTATCATCTTCCTCTGCTTGAGCTATGCCACCTTGAGTCATCTGATTTGACTATTTATAATTAGATTCCTAACCTATGATATGATATAGTAGATGTCAATAGTGACTCATGATTTATGTAGTAAGTCTTACCATTTTCTAAGCAGTAGTTGGGTGCCATGTGATCTAACTAAAAATTTGTATTTCTTATTTTATTTAACAATTACATTAACACCAATGCAGTATTATTCACTGTTGGATTTTTTTTTTCAATGTGAAAACTTAATAACCCTTGTGGATAAGAAATAAAGAATGATTCTTAGGTGCTTTAGAACCAAATTAATCAGAATTTAATATACCATTTTGTTTAGGTGTCATGGCTGTTAAAACATCTTTGTGAAAGTTAAACTTAGCTTTCAATTTCAGATGATCTACTTAAGAGTTTGGAATGTTTATATTATATTATTTGAGAATGAGGAGTCTTGCTTAAAGGAAACCTGAAGGATAAGCATCTTTCATTCAATATCTTCAAAAAGAAAATTTAGCTGACGTTTAAATAGGAAAAGATACACCTAAAATAAAGTAGAACACTGGCTTCATAAAAATAGTGAAGAGGTTCTCCCTAGCTTTTCTTTTTTTCTCTTAACTCTATCTTATTTTACATGAAATTTGGGGAGAAATGCTAAGATGAAATTTTTGGTGGAGTATTTCAGAGGTTATTTAACCAGAGACTATTTTCTTTTTCTTTTCTTTTCTTTTTTTTTGAGATGGAGTCTCGCTCTGTTGCCCAGGCTGGAGTGTAGTGGTGTGATCTTGGCTCACTGCAACCTCTGCCTCCCAGGTTCAAGTGATTCTCTTGCCTCAGTCTCTTGAGTCACTGGGATTACATGTGTGCACCACCACACTCAGCTAATTTTTGTATTTCTAGAAGAGATGGGGTTTTGCCACATTGGCCAGGCTGGTCTAGAACTCTTGACTTCAAGAGGTTTGCCTACCTTGGCCTCCCAAAGTGCTGGGATTACAGGCGTGAACCACCGCACCCAGACAGCCAGAGACCACTTGCTATGTGGCCATATTTAAATAGTCCAAGAAGGAAAAGTGAAGACTGTGTCTGTACTTTACATTAATGAACTATTATAATTTAGAAACATATGTAAGTCTCCACACTTCCTTATTTTCACAAAAATGCCA